GATCTGAAATTACCTTCACACATTAGCCCTGAACTGAAACTCTTCTACAATAAAAAAACTTCCCATAAAGTGTGGTCTATGCTATCAATCATTTTAGTAAATGGTGCTTGAAAATTCCAAGACACATATTAGCATTTATTTTGGAATTTACATACATATACATGTATATACACACATTTAAAGTTGTCAGCTTTGATAGTGAAATTGCTGGACTTCTGAAGTTTTCTTGCTTTGTAAAACTTAAACACTTTGTTCTTTGTTGCTTCACTCAATAGGTTTTTCATGTTATGTTACAGATGGAATAATTCAACTTAAAAGATGCTTCTTCCCAAGAAACTGAACCTTTCTATCAAAAGCGGTGGATCGAATTGGAGAATTAGCTTCATAAAAAGGATTCATTGCAAACTGAAGAAAGAAAGAAAGAATATAGTGAGAACAGTTTAAGAATCAATTTGTCTAAAGACCTGTATTGAACCACTTGGTCTTTGCTAATGTTCTGGAAATTTATAGCAACCTACCATTAATCATTGATTCTGGTTTTAGATGGAAAAGTAGACAGATAATGCCTTGTTTCTCCTTGAGGAAGACTTATTTCTATTTTTGCAATGAAAACTTTCAAAGAATATTGATCTACATTAACTATCTAATCTATCATACTGATTTTAGTTCCTAGAACTAATTTGAACGAAATGCATTCTATCTCCGTCCAGTTCACAGATATATGCAAAAGCTGCTGTTCTGGGAACAGAATATTCTAGAGAATTCCTCAACATTCTCTTCCTACCCTATGACCAGACAAACCTACAGAGGAGGAATACAACATTATTGAATTCCCTAGAACATTCTGTTTCAGAACAAGATTTTATACAGCTAAAGCAGTAGTTTTAACGTACCTGTCATGCAAGTATGCTAGGCCTTCACTGCCTATCGATTAATAAGCAAAAGTACCATAAACAGTAATGTTTTTTCATATTGCAAAATGGAATTAAAGTACACAATTTACATTCTCCAACTCTATACATACAGGGCAAGTGAATAGGTTTAGCCAAATACAGGTAGTCCTCAACTTATAACCACAATTGAGCCCAAAATTTCTGTTGAGACATTTGTTAAGTGAGTTTTGCCCCATTTTACAACCTTAGTTACCACAGTTGTTAAGTGAATTACTGCAGTTGTTAAGTTAGTAAGCTGGTTGTAAAGTGAATCTGCTTTCCCCATTGACTTTGCTTGTCAGAAGGTCACAAAAGGTAATCACATGATCTTGGGACACAGCAACGGTCATAAATATGAACCAGTTGCCAAGCATTTGAATCTTTACCACATGAACATGGGGATGCTGCAAAGGTGGTAACTGTGAAAAACAGTCATAACTCACATTTTTCAGTGCTGTTGTGATTTTCAATGGTCGCTAAATGAACTGTTGTAAGTGGAGAACTACCTGTAGGTTATTTCCTAAGCCAAATTCCCACTGAATACACAATTCATTGTATGATAGATAACATTGTTATAGCTTTTACCTTTATATACAGATCATAGACATCGCTAAAGAAGTTTTTGATTCCATCTTCTTGTCTTACATCATGAAGCATTATAAATCTCATATGTAGAAAAAGTTAAGAAAACAAATGTGTTTTTAAGGATTTACATGCAGTCTGGTTAAAGCTACCTGCCACACAATTTAAATCCTATATTAAAAAAGGCAGCAAAATATTTAAAAAAAACAACCTTTTGAACAGAATATATTTTCAGAATATATTGAACAGAATATACTTCCAGGAATTCTGGGAGTTGAAATCCACCCATCTTAAAGTTGCTGAGATTGAGAAACTCTGCCAATAAACTGTGGCAACTGGGAAAAATGACCCTAAAATTCTTCACTCAGTATCACATTTAAGTTTCAGACTAAGAAGGGACTGGAGAAGTATACAACCAAGTGTCCAGATGCTAGACCACAGTATCTTTGAAGTTTCTTTGAAATCCAATTCTTAACAAATGAGGTTTTCATTTTTTAAAGAAACTACATTTCTTTATACAGATGACATTCTGTATAAACAAGTTTTTGTTTAATATCTGTAAGTTATGAAAAAACACATTTTTCAAAAAGTATTCTTTGGTTCATGACCACAAAGCTGACTCTTCTTGCCCAGGATTTTGATAAATGTTTTTTGTTATATCAATTTTTGCTCTATTTATGGTGATAGTTCTCTGCTTTTAATTCTACTGATTTAAATCAGTATACTTTTTACAGGTATAAAGAATGCAGAAGCTATAATAGAATGACTATCTGAGATTGAAGTACTTATTACTGAAAACATATAGGCTGAAAAAGATGAAAAATAATCATAGAAAAGGTAAGTTTGTAGATATATGTTATGAAATGGCCTGCAAACCATCGCCTAAAATGGTTGCCAAAGTTTCTATCACACTTGCAACCTTACGCTCAACATGAGAGTCTCTTAAATTTTTAGCAGAAGTCACTGACGTCATCAAGGGAGCTAAAGTCTTTATAGCCTGATCTATGATGGCTTCAACAGCAGGTGGCGCAATATCAACTTGGCCATGCTGGTTTAACAAAGAAGCAGGAACATTCGAATCAGGCAGTCTGTTATCCCCCATTCTCCACTTATGGTCTGAGGTAGGGGTTTTAGGAAAAGATTGAAAGTCTCTTACCAATCCAGTGTTTTCTAGGACTTCGATCTTCTTTCCTTTCACGGCTGGATTCTTTAATAATTCGCTAGAATCAGCAGTCGGGTTCTGACTTACTGTGGGCAAACCTAAAAACTGAAGGATTGCCTTCCTAAACTCATCATCCACCTCTATATTTGTTTTCAAGACCTGAAGTGGCATTCTTCCAGTCTCTATTTCTTTAGGTGATGATGGTTTACTCACTATCTTAGGCCCTTCAGAAGTTGAGGCCTCTGCTCCAAAACTTACAGCTCCACTATTCTCTAAATCAATTAGAGTTTGGGGTTTTTCAGCCAAAACATTTTTGGCCTGAGCCCCAGACAGTCCAGTTTGTGACTTCATACTTTTTGCTGCTGCTGCTGCCCTAGTCAACATCTGTTCAACTGCAGACATTCCAGTCTAGCGCGTTACCACATGAGCGTAGGTTCGTTAAACCATCCTCTGCTACCAACTGCTATGAAATGGGGGTGAGGGGTACCCCGGACCGTGAACCAGCTCATGAGTAAACACACTGAGACTGAAATAATTCTCACAGAGGCGTCTTGTGTAAAAATATAATTTACTTTAAAACATTTAAAAAGCACTATGTCTTTAAGAAAGCACATTAAAACAAAGTCTTATCTGGGTATGTGAAGCAAGGCTATCTCCCTAGATCCCTCTCCACAATACTGAAACAGTTCACAAGAGAATAAAGCTAGCATGAAGGTAAGCAGCTTCGGGGTCGATACATCATCAAGGCAATCAAAGTGGGGGCAGCACAAACTTCACAGCTAAAAGTCACCTGAAGTAAAAACAGTTCAAACAGCAAACATTGCTTGAAGCTTGTGGGAGGAAAAAGGTCCAGCAGCAGTCCCGATGATAGCTTGCGTGCTTCAAAACAGCAAAAGGCAAGCATCCATGGGAGTTTCTCTGCAACGGCGTCTGGAGTCCTTATCTGCATTCTTCTCCCATCTGCGGCGTTGCACTGAGCTTCTTGCAGCTGTGCATTTAGGCCTAAACCAGGAGTCTAGGCCTGAGTAGCAAGCAAAAGGTCCTTGCTTATATGGGGAGTTAACCTGCAATTAACTAGGGCGGGGAAGGCTTGCAGGTAATTGCCAACAGGAGATGGCTTGATTGAAACCATACTGTTTGTGAGTAGGCAGGTAGCCACAGCAATCCTGGAAACACTCGTGACAATCCCCTCCTCTGCGGCTATTTGACTGGTTAACAAACATACATTCTACACTGGGTACACATATACATCAATGGTAAGTACATTCACATAGCCATCGACATTTTACCCAGAAGATAGAGGTGTTGGTCACGGGGCAGCGGTTTGGTAAACACGTCCGCTACCTGTTCCTTGGTTTCACAATACACAGTCCTAATGAAACCTGTTTTCACCAATTGCCTCACATGTTTGTTTTGTATATCAATATGGCGCATCTCTGGCCTACAGCATCAGCTTCCTATATGTTAATGGCAGCCATGTTATCCTCATAGACTTTTATAGGTTGTATGGGCTGCCTCCATAAGCTTACCAGAAGATCGTCAAACCAAACTAGGTTATTGGAAGCTTTGGACAAACTGACATACTCAGCTTCCGCTGTGGAAGTTGCAATTAACTTCTGCTTCCCAGAGTACCAATACACGGGGCTACTATTTAGGTATACAATGTACCCCGAGGTACTTTTTCTAGATCTAACATCCCCTGCCCAATCGGCATCCGAAAAACAACTCAATCTTAATTCTCTAGTTGCTTCTGGTTCCAATAACAATGAATAGTTCACAGTACCTTTTAAATATCTCAGGAGTCATTTGATTCCGCTCCAATGGTACTGTGTGGGATGTTCAGAATGTCTAGATAACACATTTACACTTAGACTGATGTCCGGTCTAGTCCAACTTGCAATGTACAACAACGACCCAATCACGGACTTGTAAAGGGTCTTATCCTCAAACTCTGTGCTCTCAGTGTACATATTCTTAAGGAAGTCTGTTGCCATAGGGGTATCGCATGGCTTCGCCTCTACCATGCTACACTTTTTAAGCAATTCCTTAATTTTATCTTCTTGAGAGAGCCGAAACCCCTTCTCGGTTTTTACGAATTGCACCCCTAAAAATTTGCTAATGTGACCTAATGGTTTTAAGGCGAAACTCTTACTTAGGTCCTCAGAGAACTTTTTTTTTTTTTTATTGCAAAAGTTTTACAATTACATTTTCACCCCATTCCCCCCCCCTCAACCCACCCAAATCTCCCAACCTCATCCTCCCTAACCCTCCCCTCCCCCCGGACTTCCATACAATGTACTCAAATCAAGATAAAAAACCCCCTTTGTATAAAACTTGAAACCCTCCCTCCCCCTTATAATTTTTCATCTTCATTACATTAAAATATTTCTATCTTAATATAACATTTTCAAATAAAAACTATTTGATACTTCCTGGTTTGATATTTGTTCTGAACATAATCTATCCACTTTTTCCATTTCCATTCATAAGTCTCTTGTAAACAATCTTTTAAATATGCCGAAATCTTCGCCATCTCTGCAAAACTGGCCATCTTCAAAGTCCATTCCTCGATCGTGGGCAAAGCTTCATTTTTCCAGTATTTACCTATCAATAATCTCGCAGCTGTTATCATGTACAATATCAACTTTGTTTCACCCGAAGTAAAACCCTTAACTATACCCAATAAAAACAGTTGTGGAGAAAATTGATCTTTTTTCTTCAAAACATTCTGCATAACCCACCAAATTTTTATCCAAAAAGCCTTAACTTTCTTACAGGTCCACCAAACATGATAATATGTAGCATCTAAACAATCACATCTTGCAATGTACAACAACAACCCAATCACGGACTTGTAAAGGGTCTTATCCTCAAACTCCGTGCTCTCAGTGTACATATTCTTAAGGAAGTCTGTTGCCATAGGGGTATCGCATGGCTTCGCCTCTACCATGCTACACTTTTTAAGCAATTCCTTAATTTTATCTTCTTGAGAGAGCCGAAACCCCTTCTCGGTTTTTACGAATTGCACCCCTAAAAATTTGCTAATGTGACCTAATGGTTTTAAGGCGAAACTCTTACTTAGGTCCTCAGAGAACTTCTTATGCCTGTTCTCTGATCTGCAAATATATAGGATGTCATCAACGTACAACAGTATCGTTTCCCTAATGCCCTGATCTTCCTTGACAAAAACACACTCGTCAGCCGACGATGGTAAAAAGCCCATCTCTCTCAGGCTTTTTGTGAGACACTCGTACCATCGTTTACCAGACTGTTTTAAGCCATATAGGCTCTTGTTCAACAACCACACATCGTCTTCCCGATGGCTTACTCCCTGAAGAATCCTCACGTACAGCTCTTTGTCTAACTGGGCGTGCAGGTACGCGGTCTGAATATCGAACTGATATACATGTTCGCCTCGCATGGTAGCGATGATGAGAGCTGTTCTCATGCTCTCAGGACGCACCGTGGGCGAGAAGGTGTCCTCATAATCGTCAGGGAATCTCTGCGAGAATCCCTGTGCTACTAGTCTCGCTTTATAGACAAAGCCCCCACCTTCAATGGGCTTTTGCTTGAAAAGCCACCTAGTGCCGATCACCCTCTTGTCCTTGGGCAATCTTGTTGGCATGAATACATCCAGCCTTTTCAGGCTGTCTAGTTCTGTATCCATGGCGGCCAGCCACTTCTGTCGTTCATGGTCAGGTAAGGCCAGCACATCCTCATATCTCTGAGGGGTGGCCAAAACCTGGTCGACTGAGGTAACAAAGTCGTCGTACCTCCTAGGCTTATTGCCTCTAGTAGCCCTAACTGGTCTGCCTCTGGGCGTGTCACTGACATCAGAGTCGTCCGATGAGTCATCTACCTCGTGACTATCACTATGCGTCTCAGAAGCTGGGTGCCTATCCTTCCTGGCTACCCCCATCTTATGCTTCAATATCCCTTTCAAGGGTGTCTGGGTTCCACGCTTCCCAGAACCAGATGTATCCCTATCATCGGATAGGTTCTCCGATACATCCTCCGATTGCCTACGACAACTACGGGAAGGGTTCCGAGTAAGAATCTCATTGGCATGGATCTTACTCCAATTGGCCCCTTCGTGAAAGGTGGCAGACCTTGATATCATCAGTTTTCCGTTAGGGTAGGCAAACCTAAATGCCTTGGAGCCCTGCTCATAACCAACGAATCTCAGTTTAACAGAGATCCGGTCTCCCTTTCTCCTAATCTCCTTCGGGACATGAACATCGGCCATCACTCCGAAAACATGGAGGTGTGCCAAGCTAGGCTTATGGCCGTATAGCACCTCGTATGGGGTCTTCTGCACCACGCTAGACCACACTCGGTTCAAGGTGTAATTCGCGTATCTAACTGCTTCTACCCAGTACGCGAAGTCTAGTCCGGAATCCTCTAGGGCGCACCGCATCATTGTTTGTAATACGTCGCTGCGCTGTTCTGCGATGCCATTTTGAAACTTAGAGTAAGGCACGGTGCGTAAGTGGACTATGCCCTTACTCCTCAACCAGCTGGAGAACTGATTTGAATTAAATTCAGTTCCTCTGTCAGTTAAGATTTTCTTAACTCTGACCTTGTGCTGGTTCTGGACTAAGTTACAAAATTCCTTAAACTTAGTCAACGTTTCACTTTTAGACATTAGGGGAAAAACGAATCCAAATCTGCTATGGTCATCTACTATGGTAAGAAAGTACCGTCTCTTACCCACGGAAGGTGCGAATGGACCCACCAAATCCATGTGGACGAGCTGAAACGGGTGTTCGGAGTACCTCTGAGACCTCTTGGGCGCAGATTTCACCTTCAACTTTGCACTCCTACAAATTGAACAGTCTAGGAATGTGTTACAGTCATTGATCTTGGTTCCCCTTGAGTGTTCGGTTACCTTTTTCACTATAGGAAAACTCACATGACCTAATCTGCGATGCATCAAGTGAGCACATTCATTATGCAGCGGCTCACCTATAGCAATTGCATTAGCATTTTCAGGTTCCCTACTATCTGACTCTAAATTAAAATTTAAAAACTTTTTATTAACTTTACATTTGTCTTTACAAGGCTTCCTCTGGTGAAAGTCTTGATCCTCATCACCTAGTTCTAACTGTGATTCATTGTTACTACCAAATGAGATAGTATAATTGCTATCACTGCAGGTCTCAGCATTCGTATTGGGGGAATAATAAGGCAAGCCACCTATCTTCAAAACCTCCCCAATCACACATTTGTTGTTTTTGATCACAGCTGTTCCTCCTGAGAACAGAATCTCCATTCTGGGGTTCTCACATATCCTCATTAGGCTTAGCAAATTATGATCTATCTCTGGTACATACAATGCTCCATGAATCTTTCCTATCCCAGGAATATAAACATCTCCAATGCCAACAATATTCACCTTTTTACCGTTTGCAACTTTGACCATGGATTGATGCCTTCTCATATTAACAAACAACCTTCGGTCACTGACAACATGGTTACTGGCTCCACTGTCCATTAACCATAGTTGCTCTCGCTGTTCCCTTGTAAGTTCTGACTCAGTAGTTTCCACTATACCTACAGAGCTATCATTAAACCTGGGATTGTTCCCTTTGTTGCCTTCATTTGGCTTTTTACCCCTTCTGTGGTTAGGAACATCTACACTTGGCTTTCTACCAGGAGGTAATGGCCTCCTTTTACATTTATTATCAGAAGGTACCTTTGAGCATGCCCTAGCATTCACATTTTGTGGGCAATCCCTTCTATAATGTTCTCTTGAACCACAATTGAAGCATTCTCCGATAGTATATGCTCTATCTGAACTATCGGGCCTTCTTAAAGGTTTTTCCTTTTTGTGAAAAGCCGCCCTGCATTTTCGCAGGTTATCTTCTGCAATCAATCTGCCAGATAACACTTCTAAAGATAAGTTATTACAACTAAAATTATCCAATAGCGATATAAAATTATCCCAGCTAGGATCAAGGGAATTGAGTATAACAGTAATGAGGGTTTGTTCAGACACTGTTTCCCCCCTCAACATCAATTCCTGCCTTAACCTGTTTAACTCACATAAGTGTTCATTAATATCTACTCCCGCCTTCAACCTTGCGGAATAGAACTCCCTATAAACTCTGTTTGTAACATGGGAGCTTTTTGAACAAAATAGCTTATGCAGTTTCACCCAAACTTCTGTTATGGTTAGGTTACAAGATATACTGGGATATAATGCAGGGTCAATAGACATCAATAAAATACAAAAGGCCTTATGATGTAAAAGATCGATTTCTAAGGACCATAGTCTAGGTGGGGGTTTTAACAACAACGATAAAACATTTTCTCTCATTAAGATTACTTGAATACTCTTAACCCATTCCTTAAAATTTCCTCAAGGGATTGAAATTGGAGGGCAGAGACAGAGAATGTAGTTTCAGCATCCAATAAGGTGTGTGTGTGTGGGGGGGGGGGGAATCAGGAAGTCTGTCCCTCCCAGCTTGTTTTGCTTTCTTTATTAAGAAATTTATGCTTCTGGTTTTGGGAAGATTATCCTGAAGCTGCCGCCTTTGTGTGCAGCAGCTGGCTTCCTCAAAACCTAGGAGAGATTTGCAGTCTACCAATGACCAGCTGATTGGAGCAGAGGCTCAGCCCACAAGCATCAGCTATGCAGAGGCTTCTTTGGAAGCCTCTCTGGCATTAGAATACAGCACTAGGCCCTAATCTAATTGGGCTCTTCCCCTTGCTGACCTGTTTTTCGCTTTGCAAAGCTTTTTGCAGCTTCTCTGCCTCCTTTATGGACCCAGCTGGATGGTAGACCTCCCCACCTATGAGGTCAACGACCCACACATCTGTTTAATGATGGCATCAAGAAAAGTAGGGGGTGGGAGTTAAGGAAAGCTCTCTCACACAACCGTTGTCACCATACTGGGCAGGCTCCACTACAGTCATAAATTGAGGATTACCTGTATACAGGTAGTCCTCTACTTACTTGAGCCCAAAACTTCCTCTCCTAAGCAAGACAGTTGCTAAGTGAGTTTTGCCTCATTTTACAACAGTTCTTACCACAGTTGCTAAGTGAATCATTAAAAACACGGTTGTTAAGTGAATCTGGTTTCCCCATTACTTCGTCAGGTCACAAAAGGTGATCACCTGAACCTGGGCCACTGCAACCGTGTCAATAAATTCAATACATGACAGTTGCCAAGAATCCATGGGGATGCTATAGTGACATTTGAAAAACAGTCAGGCCACGTTTTTTCAGTACCATTATAACCTCAAATAGCCACTAAATGAATGGTTGTAAGTCTACCTGTATTCTTCCATGTGTTATAGATATCAGGAATTTATGGGGAACTTATAATAGGTAAGAAATACATAAGAAAATTCAGATCCAGAAAGATGAGTTCTAGGCAGAAATTAATGAATACCTAAATATCTAACTACAACATTTGATAGATTTTTCCCTTAATCCCTGTTCCAAATATGACTACATCATGAATCTAATTTTTATGACAAAATGATCACCCTATCTTACAAAAACTCATACAAAAGCACACAATTCTGTTGTGTGTAAGCAGAATGGATACCATCATGCCTGTGCATTCTATATCCTATCAGAATTTGGACATGTTCACACCATACACCGAAATAGAAACTAGCCATCTAAACTTTCATATATGCACAAAGCTATCCCTTGTAGTTAGCTAATTCAATGTGTTATATGAATTTAGGAAATTGAACTTAAAATAAGAATTAAATGTACAGTAGTATGAAATAGTATGAAATACTACTTCAAGAAGCTACAGTATGCAGTGGCAATAGAAAGCAACATACTAGTAAATTTTCAGGTGATTTTTAGAATGATAGTGCTTCAGCAGAACAAATACCATTTCCAACACAGGGGTGTATGTTTTTAATGTATTAAAGAAAGATTATGTGCCCAATATGCAATTTCTGAATTTAACCCTTTTGTAAGAGCAGGGCACTGTATCATCCATCAAAGGAAGGGCTAATTGAAATCTGCTTCTAATTAGAGTGAACCTTGCCATAAGCACAGCATTTTGTTCAGGTGGCCAGTTTGTGAAATAGGAAGCTGGAGACTGCTATTCCATCTTAATGGCCTAATTATCCTTGAAATCTCTCTTTTCTGATAAAGATAAAACTATTTTTTTCACATTGGAAAATGTTTTTCATATCAGACGGCAGAGCATTTGATTCTCTGAATAATGCTCTTCAGCAACTCCTCAGACTAAATTAACCCCCTGGTTCAATACAAGTAGAGATGTTTTCTGAGCAGGGAATTCACCATGAAGTAAGTGATGGTAGGCCTTGCAGAAAGCTTCAAACATTGACAGTAAAACTCATGGTGCCCCAGAACACAAACATATCAACATAACATATTACTGGGCTTCAACCAGGAGTGGGTTCTAAAATTTTTTACTACCAGTTCTGTGGGTGTGGCTTATTTTGTGGGCGTGGCTTGGTGGTGGGGGTAATGTGACTGGGTGGGTGTGGCCAACTTTTTTTTTTTTTACTTTTAAAAGCATGTTTTCTACAACCTTAAGAGGTTGCAGGAAAAAATGGTTTTAAAAGCCTCTGACGATCAGGCAATTCAGCTGGGATCGCCAGAGGCTTTTAAAGGCATTTTTTTCCCCTACAACCTCTTCAGCCAAAGAGGTTGTAGAAAAAATGCTTTTAAAAACCTCTGAGATCCCAGCTGAGCCGCACAATTGTCAGAGGCTGTTTTTTTACACTTTTTTACACTTCGGCATTTTTTCAGCCGAAGAGGTTGTAGAAAAAATGATTTTAAAAGTAAAAAAAAAAAAGCCTCTGATGAGGTAGGCGGGGTAAGTGAGCAGTGACCGGGCCAGGGACCGGTTCGGGGGCATGGCCAGCCAATGTTATTAATGGTTCTCCGAACTACTACAAATTTTTACTACCGGTTCTAGTGAACCGGTGCGAACCAGGAGCAACCCACCATTGGCTTCAACCTCATTCTACACCAACACTTGTGGGCCAGATAAAGGAAATAAGGAGACTGGAGGCTTATCAGATCTCTGTATAGAGGATATTCCACAGGGCAAGGTGCACTTCCTAGCTTCTGTTAGAGGAAAACATTTAAGGGACCTGGAATGTGCCCACCCTATTTGACCTGGTGAAATAGAGGCGATCTGCAAGTAATGTGGTTCTATGCTATTAAGGGCTTTAAATATACTTATTGCTGAATCTCTGCATTTTTAACCACCAAAAGTCACATTTGTGAGATGGTTTGATAATTACATATTATAAAATGAATGAGAAACCTATAGACTTCTGGATGCAACTTAAATACGGCAACTATTTCAGCGACCATGGCAATAGCAATAGCACTTAGACTTATATACCGCTTCACATTGCTTTACAGTCCTCTCTAAGCGGTTTATACTCAGCATATTGCCCCCAACAATCTGGGTCCTCATTTTACTGACCTTGGAAGGATGGAAGGCCAAGTCAACTGCCAGCAGCCAGCAGCAGTAGCCTGCAGTACTGCATTCTAACCACTGCCCAACCATGGCAAGAAATGTGGAAAATTGTAGTTTAGGAACATTTGGAAGGCCATAGGCTTTCCATCTCTATTCTGAAATGTTCTTCTTATAGCATTGCAACAAAAAAGGATATGGCCTGCAGTGACAAAGGCAGAAACAAACCATTCATTAAATTTATCCACAGTCTTCAAGTACATATTATTTGTTAACCACATGTTTTCATCTACTAGGTCAAGAGCAGCATGAGCTATGAACTGATTCAAGTGGCGATGGTCATCCTGAGAGGAAAAATAAAGCTCAACTCTAAATACTGAAAACAAAAAGTATAAAATAACTTATTTTTTCATGCATAACATACATTAAGCTACTTGCTTAAACAATGTAAAATATGTACTATAATATACAACTATGAACAGAATTAATTCAGACTAATGCAATATTAGATACTAACATATGTACTTGTATGTAGTTTAGAAAAAATATTTTTTTGCAGTTTTTAGAAGAAAAAAAGGTGATTTCAAACATTTATTCATACTGAAATATATCCTTGTATACTAAATCATAGTTAAGGCATAAAAGTTGATCCAATTTATATGGTAGACAGGACAACAGAAATCAAATAAATGGATGTTCATCAGGATATATAATCCAGGTGAGTTGGGCTGCAGACTTGAATATATAATTTTCAATAGCAGCAAAAAAAAATCAATTAAGTTCCAAAATCAAATTAACGAAGAACCTGAGTGATTAAGTCAGGAGTCGGCAACCTTAAACACTCAAAGAGCCACTTGGACCCGTTTCCTACAGAAAAAAAACATACTGGAAGCCACAAAACCTGGCCAACTCATTGTCACTAACTCCCACCCAGTCACCCAGTCCCAGTCTCTCTCCCCCTCTCCCTATCTCCCCTGCTCTATCTCTGTGTCTGTCCTTCTCCCTATCTTCCCCTCTGTCCTGTGTCTCTCTCCCTCTGTATCTCTCTCTCCCTCTCTCCCCTGCTCTCTATGTATCACTCTGAATGTGTCTCTCTATGTCTCTCTGTGAATCACTCTGTATGTGTCTCTGTCTCTGTCTCACCCACTTTCTGTGTATCACTCTGTGTGTGTGTCTCTCTCTCTCTCTCTGTATGTGTGTATGTCTCTCTCTCTCTCTCCCCTCCCTCGGGTGACCGTCCTCCTCCTTCCCCCCTCCTAACTCCCTGGTTGGGAGCAAAGCGCAGCAAAGGCAAGCACAGGGTGGGCGGCCGCTCACTTAAGGAGGGTCTTAACAGGATGTGGCTTCTCTCCTGCATTAATGCTCCGGCCATCGCCTTGCCATGTCATCGCCCACCTCCGGCAGCTCTTCAGCCGAGCGCGGAGGGAAGAACAGAGAGAGAACACGCATGTGTCTTTCCCGAGGGAGTAACTTTAACTGTGTTGAGGCAATTGAAAAGTTCATGTGGATGTGCAATAGTTGCATATTAGGAAGTCATGTGAATTGGCAAAGCAATATGTTACTCTCTCTTATACAACATAAATACTAATTACCTTGGGGATTTGTATTGCCATTTCAAAGTGAGGAGTTTCCATTCCTGTCCCATCACTGGTTGGCCCCGCCCCTCTTATTTCTTTTTTGGACTCCAGCCCAAAGTGGCAGGAAGCGAAGGCTGCCTTACGTGCAAATGTGGTGTGAAGACAGGTACAGGGCCGCTTCGCTCCTGCATTCTCCAGCGACCCTCCTCCCACTCCTCCTCTCATAACCCCCTGGCCAGCTGTGGCTGAGCTGGGAACATGCGCACGCACGGGGAGACCCTCCTTAAGCGAGCCACTGCACGCCCCATGCATGCCTTTCCTGAGCTTTGGCGCTCGCTTGGGGAGGGTCTCCCCACATGTGTGCACGCTGCCAGCTCAGCCACAGCTGGCCAGGGAGTCACAAGAGGAGGAGTGTGCAGGAGCGAAGCAGTCCTGTACTTGCCTTCACGCATTTGCGCGTAATGCAGCCGTCTCTTCCTGCCGCTTTGGGCTGGAGTCCAAAAAAGAAATGAGGGGCGGGGCCAACCAATGATAGGACAGGGAGCCATGGCAGAGGGCCCAAAGAGCTGCTTGTGGCTCCGGAGCCGAGGGTTGCCGACCCCTGGATTAAGTGATAGAACGATTTGATACTATATACTGTGCATTTGAACAAGATTTCATACCTTAGATTCTACTTTACCAGCTGGTAGAAATTCCATTTCAAATACAGGATTATCATGGTGACCTACAATTACAAAATAGTAGCTTCCCGACATAATGAAAATATGGCCTCTTCTGAAACAGAACAGAATCATGCAACTAGAAAAGAAGTGGTTTGTAGAAAAAAATAGTGACATATATTATTTATTTATTTATTCGAATTTCTATACCGCCCTTCTCCTTTCGGACTCAGGGCGGTGAACAGCCAGATAAAAAACATCTATACAAACATCACGGTTAAAAAATAAAGTTAAAATAATTTATAAATTTGGCCCATAATTTAAAACTTGTCAATTTAAAATAAATATTAAAATTTTAAAACTAACCTATTAAATGTTAAAGCATTTATAACAGTCTTGTTAGATAATGAATCCCATGAAGTTCTTGCTATTTGATACTATTTGAAGTTTTATTTATACATAAAGTATTGTAATTGGCTCCACCTCAATGGGAATGAAAAATTTAAATATATATTTTTATTAACAAGTTATAGTAAAAGTTGGAAAGAAAATGCTTAACTTTTAAATTTACTGTTAAAGTCACAAAGTATAATTTCGTTTGAGTAGCAACAATGCAAAGTTCTTTCCAACATCTTATCTGAGATTTGTATCATAAATTCCAATTCACATTTATTGAAATATCAATTCTAATATTTACATTGTATTCCAATAAATATCAATTCTACTGTTTAACAGTCAATATAAGTTATGAAATACACTAGTACATTATGAAAAATAACACTTTTTATATTGTCAGTTGAAAATTTCTCACAATTATTTATGTAAATAATATTTTTAAAAAGATATTACTGGGGGATGGGATGCATAATATTATCGTCACCTTTTCACCTGGCTATAACTATGCTTAAGTTTATTTTTTTAAAAAAACATAGTATATTCGCTCAGAATAAAGCTTTCTATTTCTTTTAAATAAACTCAGCAAAGTTTCAGATAATTGTACTACGGTATTTATTTGTTCATTTATGGAGATAATTTGTTCCTTGGGCACCTGATATATGGCTTAAAAATAAGGAAAGATATATAAGGCACAGATTGAAAAATATATGCCAGATGATCATAATAAAATGTTAAATAGGAAAAACCGGCTACCCAGATGATGCTAATTCCACATACAATAGCCCTCCAGGGGCGGGCCAGATAACCTAAAATATCTGAATTCTACACCAGAGATTCCATCTGACTTTCAAGTAGAGATTTTCCAGGGTTAGAAACAGCCTTATATTTCACTTATTCCCTGTTGAAAATTTCGACTTTTATAGTACACTGCTGCTGTTTATTTCTTTTCCCATTAAAAAGCAAAATACTATAAATGCCATCTATCCACTTTTAGAGAATCCGTGAAAAGAAAAGAAAAAAACAACAGCTCACCTGAGGCCCTACAGCTGCCGGGTTTCAAAGAGGGCGGAAAAGATAAGAATCTAATCCTTCCTTCGTAGAACACTCGGCGCTGTTTGATGTCGTCAGAAGCCGCTCCCCACTTTTTCTTTTTTCTTTTAAAGCGCGAATTAGAAAATAGCCCCGCGAGTTCTCGTGAGAATTCTGGGATAGCAACGCGTCTCAGAGTAGTAATAGCAACAACGGCAGGATTGGAAGAGGCGGTTCAGGGCGCATCGTCATTGGACGCAATTCCTTCGGGGGTGGGGCGTGAGGAGACCTTTTGCCTTTTTGGTGTTTTTTTTTTTTTTTTGGGTGGATTGTTAGAGGAACTGTGGTTTTCTTCTCTGCTGCGGTGTCGAGTTTGGTGCGTTGTGTATGTCTGTTCTGTTTTTACCTCCCCCGTTTCTCCGATCCCCAGTGTGTACAAAATAAACCCTGAAACGAGCAAGGCTGTTGAGGGAGAGGGGTGGGAAAGTAGCCTGGGAAGTGTGATGTCTATGAGACGGAAGTGGAGCAGATATTCTGGAGGAATGATTTTTTCAAACTGGGATGAACGTATTATTGCTTTGTTCTTTGCAGAGCAATGGATGGAATGCTGCTTTGGGTACTGTTACTTAAATATTAGAGTCCGAAGCTTTCTACCACAGTAATTAAAATTGCCTTTGCTAATTTCTTTTATTTGTAAGTAAAATCCAAACTTTTATATGATACAAAATGGAAAAGTAAGAAATGAGAGGAAAGCTTTTCTGGGTCATTATAAGGACACAAAACAGGAGTATACATCTAGCAAGTAAATAAAAATGCATAAAGTGGGCTTAGGGCATTAGAGTCTGGCAACTTTTAATGATAATATGACTTAACCTTCCTTTCAGAACCTGGTCTGCAGATGTGCTGGATCTCACTATGTCAGGGATCAGCAACCATAAACACTCAAAGAGCCATTTGAACCCATTTTCCACAGAAAACAAAACACTGGGAGCTACAAAACCTGGGTGGGTGTGGCCAACTTGACATCACACACTCCCATCCAGTCACATGACCCCCCTTCACATCCTTCTTCCTTCCATCCTCCCTCCTTTGATTTTTCCTTCCTTCCTTCCTTCCTTCCTTCCTTCCTTCCTTCCTTCCTTCCTTCCTTCCTTCCTTCCTTCCCTGCAGTGCTCTGCCAGCAAAAATGGAGCTCAGGAGGGCCGCATATGGCGCTCCTGAGCTCTGTGTGCAGCCTTCCCAAGCTCCATTTTCACTGGCAGAGCGCTGTAGGAGGCCATTGCAGCCAAAAACTGAGCTCGGGCCGCACACGGCCCTCCCAAGCTCTGTTTTCACTGGCAGAGGCACCATGGGCCAGTCCTTCGCTGTTTCCAGGGCGGCCCTGCAGGCCAGCTCTAAGCACACCCTGCTGGCTGGATCCGGCCTGCAGGCCTTGAATTTGACACTCCTGGTCTAGAGGTTAAGGCACCAGAATGCAAACCGGGAGACTGTGAATCCAATCTTAGCCATGAAAGCTAGCTGGGTGACTTTGGGCCAGTCACTTTCTCTCAGCCCAACTTACCTCACAGGGTTGTTGTGGGGACAATAGGAGGAGGAAGATGTGTTGAATATGTTCAGTGCCCTGAGTTATTTGTAAAAATAATAAAGGCAGGATACAAATAAATAAAAATAATAAAATAATACATGGGCTTTATATGATGAGTATTTTACTGATTATTGTTTTTATTGAAGCTTTCAGTATTTCATTTATTTTCATCTACATATCTGTTCTTTTTAATTCTATAAAATAATTCTATAAATTCAGATCTAAACTGAGTTGTTTGCTATCGTTATTTATGATCTTAAATTCCCAAAATGAATCTGTACCATTATTTATGTAGTTCAGTTATTTAAACTAAGCATTTAAGTCTTTATGTATCTACGTCTTTGTGCATTTGACAAACTAAATTCTAGTCTATGAAAGCTTAAGTTGTAGTAAAGAAAGTTGTAGTAAATGAGTAATATGTTATAGCATTTTTTGTTGTTTTGCTACAACACATTGCTCATTCTTCCAAACATTTAATTTTTAAAATGTTGTGATGTAGATTTCAGTATGTAGTGCTTAGTATTTTAATGGAGTCCATTTATATTGCCAAATATGTTATTGTGAAATTGGATTATGGATATAAAAATGTTACATTATTTTTTTCATGTTTTCAGATTCTGATGTCTTCATCTGAATTTAAAGCTCTGTCACAAGATGACCTCCGGAAACAATTATACCAGACATTTAAAAACCGTGGCGTTTTGGACACACTTAAGGTCTTTGATTTAAAATATATTAAAATTAGGATAATTTGGGTCTTAATCTTGGCAAAATCAGCTGAATATTTGTTATAATAAGTTATACCAATTTAATTTAAACTTTTGTTAAAAATGTAGTAGCTTACAGTTTAAATGATGCTGGGTATACTAAAATATATAGTATATTGGTAGCAGTAGTGATAAAATATGTGAAACCTTACAGATATCCAGTTTGTGATGACTTATTGATTCACACATCTATTAGAAAGATACCTTTACTAGTTTTATACACTTTTTTTCAGTGCATTTTTGGGGAAGACCCCCCCCCCATAATCTAAGATTCATACAGTAATTTAAATTAGAGGGATTAAATGTGGTTCTCTTTTTAGCCACTTTCATATGAATTATTAAATTTTAAATTCTTGCCATTTTAAAATGTGCAAGCTTGTATACACCTAACATAGATTTAACCCTAATACACAAATTAAGACATCCTTGCTATGGGAATCAAAGCATTCCAGCACTGCCCATATCTATGATGTGACTACCAATTTTTCTCATAAAGCTCATGCTCTGCTCAAATTATAGTTTGGCTGCCAAAAGATTGCCCAATCCTAATCTTTAAAATTAGAGTGCATTTTCATTTTATTCAAGGGAGCTTTTCAAATATTCTCAATGCAGATCAGATCAAAACATTAACTTTAATTAGGAGTGTGTAAAATGACATAACATTTAATTAGTGATACCCACCTTGTGCTTCTCTAAACTCATTCCAAAGTATATCCCCAAACCATAGCTTTCTCCTTAATGTAAATTATTACAAAACCAATACCACATTATGCATAATATAACACATAGCTCAGTTTTACCTTTCCAGATTTAAAACTTCACTAATTATCATGTTTATACCCTGCTTTTCTTCAGGGGGGAAGTTTAAAACAACAGTAATGAATTTTTTTGTTGTTGTTTCAGATGCAACTCCGTAAGCAACTCATACATGAACTAATGAATCCAGTTTTATGTAGAGAAATTCTCCCAAAGGCTACTTCTAGTGAATGCAGTTCATTGATCATTGTGGCATGTAATAGTTTAGTGGCAGATCATTTGCGAAGATGTGGCTATGAATATTCACTGTCTGTTTTTTACCCAGAAAGTGGATTAGAAAAGGATAAAGTAAGTACTTTCCTCTTCAAAAGTGGAGAGGTATTTCCTGAGCATGTTTCTTCCAATCAAGTTGCATTCTGAAACCAAAATAGGAGCTGAGTAGCTTTTTCTGTTTTTTGTTACAGTGTGCCTTCTTAATTTAGAACTGGTACCCAATTTTTTTTTTTTAATCTATTACAAGAATTTCTCAACCTAAGGCAGTTTGCTTAACTATGGTTCAAATTAATGACAGTCTTGGAAAGGGTAGTTTATGGCCTGTAAAGCACTTTCAACTATCACAAAATATTGCACCAGCCTTCATGTGATCATGATCTGAGTGTTTGGCATCCTGTTTGTAGTTAGGACCAGTTGCCAAGCATCCTACAGTCATGTGATCTCTGTTTGCAATCTTCTTTGCCAGCTTTCCCAGAAACCCAGTGGGGAAGCTAGCAGAGAAGGTTGCAGGCTGCTGCCATCTGCTGAGGACTTCTCATCTTTGGGGGCTAGCTGAAAAAATTCCCTGCCAAAGGATTTTAGCTGTGTGCCTGATAGCCAAAATCCAAGCAGGCACAAAACTGAAATCCTTTGGCAGGAAGTTCTTTCAGACAACTCTCAGAGACAAGAGGGAGCAGAAATCCAAGCAAGATTTCAAACTCCTGCTAGGACTTTCAGTTTGCTTGGTGCATGCCACCAAGTAAAATGTTAAAATTTGCACTGGTTGCCACTAAAATCCATAAAAAATTGAAATCACTAAATTTTTTCCAAGCAGCTTTAAGCTAGGTTTCTTCACAGCTCCTATTTATTTATTTAATGCCCTGCATTTTGTTTGAAACAGCATTTTTTAACGAAATCGAAGAGTTAAAGTATACTTTTCAATTTTATTTAGTGATTAAGAACCTGGCAAGAAGTGTCCCTACAAATTCTCTTAACACTGTATTAGAGGCAGGCAACTGTAATATTTTATGAGCATAAGAAGGTGCTTTATATTAACATTTGGTTCATTAACTCAGTGTTGTGATAGAAGGAAAAAGTGACAAATTCCTTTTTTGCTAATTTATAGGCAAAACCTATGAAGTATTTGAAGAGGCTTTTTCATAGAGAATGTTCAAAGGTGGCATGCATATATACAATCTAAAACAATATTTGTATGAACGCATACTTATGCTGATGATGCTAATGGGGTAAAGGATCAGGGAGAGAATTGTAGTACTTTTACATGTTTCTTTGTAAAAGGCATATACATTTTAAATTTCCTTAAGAAACTTAAGAATAGATTATAACTCCACAAGTATTTTCAAAAGCAGAAGTGGAAAGACAAAGTTCTCTAGGAATATTAGACAGACAGGAAAAGCAATAATGTTTCAAGATAACAAAAATCTAAATTGGTATGTGTTTATTTCTTATATTTTTATCTAATAACCAAGTGCTCTTGGCATTTTGCATAGTTAACATATCAAAAAGATTTTAAACAATGTTAAGAAAGAAAAATAATCTGCAGTGAATTAGTAATCCAGCAAGATATACTTTCTAATGATGAATAAGACTTTAATATCAAGTATAAAACTATAGAAATGTTTCGTATAAGAGTTGTGTCTTGTTTGGCAATGAAAAAGGTCAAATGCATTTCTCTCTGAAGAGAGGACAAACTAACATCTGAAGATTTCCTTGAGGTACTCTACCTTCTGATTCTTCAGGGTTTTAAATTCAGTACCAAAGAAACCCTTAAATGGAATTTGAAAAAAGACTGGTGATCTAGCAGTTTTAATCAAGCACTGGTACCACATGACCTTTTTGAATAGTGGTAGATAGTAATACTGTAGCTCTACTTGGACTAAAT